TCTTCTGCTTTTCCATAATCTTAATCTTTTGCACTCGAGTGGCGATTTCGAGGCGACACTAAAAATTGCTACACTATTTTCCAAAGAATTTTCACAATTTTTTTAAATTCAATATAAGTTATCACATAATAGAAGTCTTCTACAGGGTATCCCAAAAATGTCTCGCAATCCGGAAATGAAAGGTTTTAAGATCATTTAAAGCAACTTTTTCCTTAGCGAAAATACAATCCGCCGCTTTGTTTACGAATTATTAACGAAAAACAACGACCAATGAGAAGCGAGATCAGCTGGCGCGAGGCAGCCGAGCCAATTAGCGGAACTGTGCTCCGTGCGCCCGTTGATTAGGCCGCATCGCGCCAGCCGAGCTCGTCTCTTATTGGTCACTGTTTTTCGTAAATAACTCGCAAATAAAGCCGCGGATTGCATTTTCGCTAAAGAAAAAGTTACTTCAAATGACCTCAGAAACCCTCCATTTCCGGATTACGAGACATTTTTAGGACACCCTGTATATGTATCAAATAAAAACAATCACACCAAATGGAGATACTGTAGGGTGAAACAAACGTCTCCATTTTCGAATTAAGATAGTCTCGAGTACAAAGGGTTAATACGTTTACGTAATACAATTAACATTCCAATACCTTACCCACAACGACTTTTTTTACCGAATATTGATCTTCAATCGTTCAGTATTTTTTTATGCTTTTTCATAAGCTTTACAAAAAATTTTGCGAATTCAATATCAAAAATTGAAATAATTTTTGTAGTATTTTAATAACTTACGTCTTTTAAATGTTCAATTTTATCGTATAAATAATTAATTGAGTTAACTAAAAAAAATGTAATATGTTTCATCCGATAAATCTGAAGTTAATTATAAACTACAGACACAGTAATTGGCTACACCACAGTAACTGGCTTCACTAGTCTTTGTTTCTATACGACAAGTTTCGGACATTCCTTCTGAAATATTCTTTCTATTGAATAATTAATCGATGCTCAGATGGTTTGTTGTTGTCTATGAACTAGCAAATCGATTGTCAACATGTAACGTCAGCTACAGATAATATGCACGTATCATTAAACACTTTCTTATCTCAGTGCTGTTTATTTTAGATAATTTTTTATCGGGCGATTTAAAGCACCAGGAATAGACATCAGATGGAGACATTAAATTAAACAATCGATTAATGAAATTATTAATTGTTAGGCTTCGAGGGAAATTTGAAGAAAGTGATGCATACAACTTTTAGTTAGTCGCAAATTTTCATAATCCATTTTTGTCTATTCTTTTCACAATTCAATGTTTTTCTTTCTTTATAATTTACGAGATCACATATAGCGACAAGTAAAGGTGTAAGAATTTTATATTACTTAACAAATGTTTCTCGCAGATAAAGATAATATTATGAACTGCATCTATAAAAAATATCTCTATATTCTACATTATAATTGTATACTCTACGCTACATAATAATTAAACTGCAGATTTCATGTATTCATGACAAAAGTATTCGCTGTAATTTGAAACATTAGATTAAGAAGAATAGAAAAGTGTCAATATACTATTTTTATTCCGCTAAAATGTTTACAGAAAGGAAAAAATTCCAGTGTGAATAATTTCCAAAGTGTTTTGTATGACTCGCTATTATTGCAGACAATTTTTATTTTGCAAAAAAATCTGCGGAGTTATTACACTTATTATTATAAGATACAGAGGCGTAAAATTATTGGTTAAATTTCTCACATAAAGTGGAACACGTTACTTCAAATTTTTATTATAAATATGAATTACAATAGATTTAAATAGAAATTTTAAATTATTATGTATTGTACTTGGACAAAGTCAAGCTATTCCATATTTACATTTTTGCACACTTTCGGAAGTTCTATTATACAAATTAACTCTATTCTTCTATTAACAAATAAGAACAGTAATATGAGATCGCTTGTTTAGGATAAAAGAAAAATTGTGATTTATTTATTCCTGCGAAAAAATACAACAAATTTCAAAGTATCCGTATGAAAAATTAGAAAAGTGGAAGTAGTATAGTCAAAAGTGGAAGACAGCAATTTGTTTTAAACCGAGCAAAGTTGTACTAATTATTGCTTCAGATTCATAAGCGATACCGAAAGCAGCAGATCGTGAAGTCAATGTAAGAGTAAGTGAATGGATAGTTCGTCATGCATTAAAAAGGATAGGTTCGAAAGCAAAAGAGACGAGAAAAGGCCACTTTTGATCAAAACTATAAATTTACAAAGGCGATTCGTCGAAAGAACGTGTAAAGAATGGACAGTCGATGATTGGAAACAGAACGCATGGTCTGACGAAACTAAAATACATCGTTTCGTGTCGGATGAAAGATCGTGATACTGGAATCGAACGGGAGAACTGAATAATTTATCTGGCGTTAAACAAAGAATAAAATTCGGGGGCGGATCGATTATGTACTGGCAGTCAGTTACGCGTATCGGAGTTTAATAAAAATTCATGATATGCAGGGGAGCAATATTCGGGTATTTTGCAAGAAAACATGTTGGTAGTTGCACCAATCAGTAGTTAATGTATTAACAGGGCGAAGATCCGAAACATACTAAAAATTGCGGGGCTTAGTGAAAACAGGCATATGCCACAATTTTATAATTTTCAAGAATAACACATTCTAATAGATTCTGATTTTCATAAAAAACGTGGTACGGAAACGCTATTTATTGTAAACGATATATAAAATTCACGCAGTAAATGACGACTGTTATTAAATATTTCCTGCAAAATTCATTTCGAAGATAAATTTTTTAGCTAATGTTGCCGCCGAATGTCGTCACCGAGTTTTTATGTAATGCCAACCAATGACAAATGAATGATTTGACAATTCAAATGAATTAAATATTATGTACTATAAAAAAAGTAAAAAAAGTAGTAAATCAAAAAAAATTGATCCACATGTGACATGTATCTGTTTTAAATTAGTAAATAGAATTAGTACAAAATTGGTTTGCAGAACGAACATTTTCAGTATTGCAATGAACAGCTCAAAATTCTGATCTTAATCCAATTATTATGAATGAGAACTTATGGTTAATTGTAAAAAAGAAATTTGGAAAATTGGAAAATCCTCCGCTGCGTATTCATGAACTTTGTACCACGAGAAAATAAGTATGCAATAATATTGAATCATAAATAAACCATAACTTAATAGCGAGTAGGCCAAAGAGATTAAAAGGAATAGCGAAAAACGAAATAAAAGAAATTATCTTACAAAACTGTAAACGTGGTTTAACGAATCTATTTTTGTCATATATAATGTTTCCAAAAATTTAAAATGTAACGTGTTTTATTTTGTGTACAATACTCAATAATTTTAATCTTTTGCGTGTTATTATTATATTATGTAATTTATGCATTTATAATAAATGAACGTACGTGAAATTACAAACAATGACAATACTAAAAGAATTTAAGGACATCTATGTACTATTTTCAACTCACTGAAATTGTTGAGTAAAGAAAGAAATTTTTGTTGCAATTGATTAAAATAAGTTTTACTTTGCATAAAGATCTATAGTCTAGTCATTATTTAGTATAGAATACAGAGACATAGGTTTGTGTTCAAAACTAATATTTTTGTGCATAAAAAATGGCCGACCGTTAGAAGTTGTTCGAGGTGTACAAATTACGTGACTAACTCTGTAAATTTATTTATAAAATCATACAAATTTCATTGTAAATAATTATTCTAAAGTAATTTTCACTAATCATTTATACAATGGCATTGAACTTTTAAATTTCATATGAATTTTATTACAAATAATTACAAAAGGTGAATAAAGTCTGCAGAAGTAATATTTGCAAAATAAAATTGTGCAATTAAATTTTAGCGTAAAGCCTGTGGTTGCCGTGTAAACAGATACGCAACGTTGCGTGCTTACACTTTTACTAATTCATCAATTAATTTCAACTAGTATATTAAACTCGCTCGAACATTATCAAACTTTTCAAAAGATACAATAAAGTAGAATTTAAAAAAACGTAGCATCCATAATTATTTCTTATTTACGATATTATTAAACAAAATTTTTTAATTATATATATAAATATATTTATTCTCTTGAAGAATAAACATTTCCACTTACGAGGTT